GGGCAACCAGTGACGCTGCTGAAGAACTAGGGTAATATGAGCTCTTGACGGAGTGCAAGTTATGACCCGAGCTGCAGAATTTTGATGAAGTTGGAGTTTATGAAGGGACCTTTTAGGGAGACCAAATAAGAGGGAATCAGTACAGGACGTAATAAGACTATGGACAAGGATGGCAGCAGCATGGGGAGTAAGGAAGGGACGGAGTCTGTTAATATTACGTAAGTGGCAGTATGCAGACCAGGTTATGTAATTAATGTGAGACTGGAATGAAAGAGTATTATCAAGTATGACACCCAGACTCTTAAACTGAGGGAGGGAAGGGTGGGATAACTTTCAATGTTAATGGAAAAACTGTGGGATTTGGTTAAGATAGAGGCTGTACCAACAAGTAAAACTTCAGTTTCATTACTTTTAAGTTTAAGAAAACTGGAGGAGAACCAAGATCGAATCTCAATAAGTCAGTTTGAGAGGGAGGTAGGTGGGAGGGATGAATTGGGTTTAGAAGAAATGTAGAGCTGGGTGTCATCGGCATAACAGTGAAAAATTTGTATTATATTTTCGGAAAATATATGACCAAGAGGGAGCATGTAAATAATGAATAAAAGAGGCCCCTAATACTGAACCTTGGGGCACACAAGCAGAAACAGGATAGAGACTTGAAGAGTGGGATTTAATTTGGATAAACTGAGTGCAGTCTGAGAGATATGAGGTGAACCAGGCAAGGTTAAAGTTAAAAACATTAAAATAATACAGCTAAAATCCAATGGTCTCAGCCACGAAGATAAAATCCCATAAAAGTCCAAACGGCTCAGAAACCGGCAGAATCGTCGCTGTCCTGTCTGCCTCTTCGTTCTGGTGCCAACTAAAAAGGAGAGAGGGGCAGCGGCAGTCACCATTCTTTGTATCTCACCGGAGATTTGTCTTAGATGGGATTGATCGGGACTTACGCCGGATGGGCAGAGCTCCTAACTCTGCCCGCCACTGTGCTGTGCTTCACACGCGTAGCCATGGTCTTGCCGTCCCAGGGACATAAGGCACCATCCCGCTGCCTCTGATTGGTCCCAGGTGTGTCAGGTTAATGATCAGGAGGGCGGTGGAATGGGCATCCCCCCGGAACAAATCACATATTAGAAAACAAAAAGCATGCAATAACCCCACAAGATAAAACACTACAAGCTAATAAAAGATCAAAGAATAAAACACAGCACTCCATGCAAGGAAATAAAAACACCAAGTTAAACTTGTCCGTTCCACCCTGTGACAAATAGAAACCTGCAAATATTGCAAAAACAAGTCAAAACAGGGTTGCACCTTAGATACTTGATTCAAATTGTTGTCAGCAACTGAAAAAATTATAATAAAAATAATGATAATAATAATAATAACAGGTGAGCAACGGAAGCCAGGCGCACCAGCATTCACTCAACTGGAAGTGCTGACAGAAGTCCTGTCATTAGCTGTTTCCGGGCCTGTGTGACCTCCCAGGTGTGCTAAGTTAGTAATCAGGGAAGGGTGGAGTCTCTCCAAGACAAGCTAACAAAAAAATACAATAAAAACATGCACTAAAACCATAAGAAGAAAACACTGTACAATATTAAAAGATAAAAACTAATAAAACACAGCAACACATTCAAAATAAAAACACTTAAAGTTAAACTTGTCCATTCCACCCCGTGACAATTATACTGCTGCATAGGCTGGGCTGTACTTACTTGTAAGGTTTTAAAAACTGAGCTTTAAAATGAATAGTGGTAGTAAAAACCAAGAGAGGCCGACAGTGATCACTGGCTTTTTTTAGGGGCTTGTTCAGATTGAATAGAACAAGATACAAAGCATTAGAACATGTTCAAAATTACAACAGCCTTGATGAATGCAGAGTAGTTTAGACCTGGAAGCAGGGTTCATACGTCACTTAAAGACCGGATAATAGAGCGTGCCATGGAATGATGAGTTGAAGCGCACAGGCTCCCACACCTTGGACTGGCCTCTTGTAGGGAGTAATTAGGGGGAGCTGATGTTGGAGACATGGGTACCCTCCATCTGCGGGGATGAAATGCCCTGGAGGAGGGTAATGGGCCTGCCTGTACAGTGGGCTGTTGCGGAGCACCCTGGAGTCATGCACTGACCCAGGCCGGCCCACATATGTATCAAGGAAGCGTCCCTTATGGTCACAAACTGCCTGTAGGTTTATTGATGGGAACAATTTTCTGTTCCTGGACACTAGGTGGTAGCCTGTAGCACTAACCATCAGGACCACTGGGAGGCTTGATGCAGACATGGCAGCTGTCAATTGCACCAGCTGCTTTCAAAAAGGCTCTGTGTCTTGCTAGCCCTGCAAACCCATGAGACACGACGTCTAGGTTGTGCAGATCAGGGGTCTGAGGGAGGGGGGTGACCTGATGGCGAATAGCCACCACCTCCTCTGGGACCCTGTGGATGATGTGATGAACAGTGGAATGAGGTATTGCAAACACTCTGGAAACAACTCTGTAGGCTGCTCCATTTGCCAGCCAGAAAAGAAAAACAAGGACCTCAAATGTTGCACCACAACCATGTGTCTGATCCTGTTTAATCAGATTCAACAGCACTTTCCGAGACTCCCTGGCTCAGGTGAAAATCAGGTCTAGTGTCCTCATTGTTTAAAAAAACTGTCCAGGACAGCTCTGTAATTAATAAAAAGATTAGAAAGAGAGCCATTAGAGTTTCGGCATCCATCATTTCCCACTGTTACCAATGGGGAGAGGTGGTAAGGGTGGGAACAGCTGGTGACGTAAATCTGAAGGCTAGACCATCCCATTTCACAGCCTCACCCGGCCTGTGCAGCCCATGAATTGGGACACACAGAGTGCTCATTGATCTGCCTCTCTGACTGCTGTGTGATGCAGAACTACTTGTTGCTTAAGGCCGTTTTTTATATACCCCTACCCTAATTGAGCTGTGAAATGGCTTAAAAAATTAGGTTTCAACTAAAGAAGCTAACATGCAGCCTATATTCCTCTAAAAAATTTAGAACCCAGTAAAATTGTTCTTGTACAATGCTAATCTTAGAAAAAAACAAGATAACATAAAACATGCTAAAACTTGATGCTACAAGTAGTTAATTTTGGTGCTAGTTAAGCAGTATACGGGACACAAGACAATGCCTTCAAACTGTGAAAATTGGCTAAGTCCAACATTCCCATCAAAATTTGGACTAGCTAGCATATGATATATCAGCTGTTATGCTATACTATCACTGAAACAGCAAACTTCGTGAAAAAAAACACACTTCTCATTCTCTAAACGTTTGGCCACAGCTGCAGATTACACTATCAGTGCTTGTTCACTCTTGTCAATAATTACATTTCTAAATTCTCTTTGTGCTGTTACAGGCAAACAATATCTAAAATTTTATCTAAATGACTGCTTTGTCTTTGAAAAGGTGAAGAGCCTGAGGCCGGTGACAGTCCAGTTCTACTCTAAGTACATCCTTACGGTGGCTCACAGGACAAGGCTACATTCCTGTCCTGCCAGAAGAGAAGAGAAACTTCAGAGACTTCATGCAGTTCAACCACACCTGTCATATTCCGTACGGTGTTCATGCAGTTTTCTACCCAGTCATGTTTAGAGATGATCAGCCAGCCAGACATCTGGATGATCATCTGGAATAAACAAAAAACTAAAGAAGACATATGTTACTTCATCTTTTATCTTTATTATTATTATTACTATTATTATTTTGCATTTTTCATTGTTAGGCATTAGGTTTATTGCCTTTGAAATCATTTAAAAAATTGTAGTAGTCCTTGCCAACTTCTTTCCCTCTTCCATGTTACTGTGTCAGCTTGTCAGCATCTAATTGGGGTTGGGAGTGGAACAGAAAGTAAGGAAATCCAAAGTGCCATTAAAACCAGGAGAGGTTCTTACATTTCAGAAAAAGGGATTATTAAAAAGTATTCAAAAGAAATGTCCTCAGTGCCATATGTGATTTAGGAACCCTACGTACATTTTGCAAAGTAACACATTCTTATGATTTTCCCTCTTAGGGGCCAAGCTACAGCTGTCAGGGATGGTGACGTAGGTACAGAGCATGTGAGAGTGTGGTCAAGTAAATGTCTCTTGTCTAGATGTCTAGATGAAGGCACAAGGGGATCAATGGCAAGGCGTAGAGATTAAGTATGTTCAGTCTTCAGTGGACACTCCATTTCTAGCACAAAAGCACATGTAAAGGTTAGTAGATTTAGGAGGTGAACTGGTGACCTGACAACTTCTGCCTGTGTTTATGTGTGTTTGTGTGTGTCCTTTTGTCTTCTTTCCCTTTTCTGTTCCCATGTCCTCCTAATGTGTGACAAAGCCCTGGGGTAGAAGCTGCTTTTTAGTCTGTTTTTTCAGGTTTTAATGGTCCAATATCTCTTCCCTGAAGGTAAGCAGGTGGTGTCCTGGGTGTGGGGAGACTTTGCATATACTGGCTTTCCATTTAAGGCAGCCAGCATACACAGCAGGTCTGTGCATGTAAATTTATGAACAATACTTAATTAAGAAAAAAACAGGCTGCTTGGTAACCTGGCTATAAATTGCTAATGATTGTTATATGCCCACTATACCCAATTATAAGTGTTGAGGTCAATGTGCCCCCCCCCGCCCCATATGTAACTTGTGAGTAGTTTCAAACTAGATTTATGTTATTACTACTGCACACATGCAGTACCTTTACGGCCTACACTTTGGGAAACACTGCCACGTTTGTAGGTTCTTAGTCATCCAGGTCATGATAAACTGCAGATCCTTTTCCGATAGTACCTACTCGGATCGATACGCCAACCTCGAATGGTTTTCCATTACAAATAACGCCGCTGTCCAGCCAGTCGGTGGCATACAGTCTGACAATGTCACATTTTATTACCTTCTGCGATCGCTTGGAAAATCCTGAAAACCTACACTGTAATATGTTGCTGTCGCCCTGTGTTGGCTCGCAGGCACAGCAGATTGGTCGGCGGAGTGGATGTTGTAAAAGAGACCACGCCCCCTCTCAGAGTTTGGCAGCGGGGCATGGTGTGAAGGAAGGCAGGAAACCATGGATCCCACTAAAGAACAGCTGGAGAAAACAGTGGACATTTATCGAGATACGTGGGTCCGCTTCCTGGGTATGTGTTGTTTAATTGGTTTTTGGTTATTTGCGCTAAATTCACTGCCAGGACAGAGTGTGGACCAAATGCTAACTAGCTCGGAGTTAGCAAAGGCAGCTAACCACTCTCCTCAATATCTATTTATAGTAAAGTTGCCTGTTCAAGGTCGTTTTATTACTGCATGGTATAATTTTGAAGCATTGAAGGTATGCTCGGCAGTGTCGCGGTATTGTTTCCACACTGTTATGTAAGACGCAGTGCGCTACTAACTCCACGGCGTGAAGTTGTCCCGGTTAGCCCTTAAAATCACTCAGTGAAGGCAGTTGACGAGCAAGTTGAGACAGTGACTCAACCACTGAGAAACGGCAACGCGTGATCCTATGAAAGGTTAGTGTATTTCTCCCTTTACTTCCCCATCTCTACCAGCTATTACAGCGAGGGAGGGCGCGAGCAGCAACCAGTCCTGAAGGGCATCAACTCTGCAGCTGTTCCCACAGGCTACATGCCTCCTCAGCTTTCATAACATGTACTAGGCAGCAGTAACACGGTAGTAGCAGTGTGTATGCGGCGTAATGTGCATTCCTGTCATTTTTGTATGTGTCAATATGCCGCAACAGTGAAAGCACCTACATGTTAATTCAGCTGCAATAATGATCTTATTACGATGTGTGCCGGTATTCATGTGGATGCTACTTTGACTTTAACTTAAAAGCACTGAAGGTCAAGCATGCCACTCATGGCAAAAGCAGTCCTCCACCTGACAAAAACCTGAGGGTTGACTGGAACGTGAATAACAGAGGCAGATACTGTCCCAGCGTCCAGATTCCCCAAGCTCCCAAGGTGAACGGGCAGAGTAACCTGCTGGACACAAAGGATCTGCTGATAATTTCCTGGTGACAAAATACAGGACACCCCCTGAGGTCAGGTCCGAGCTGTTTTGACAGCACGAGGGTGACCTAAAAATATTAACCATCAGTTTTTTGTTTTCCAGCTATATTATTCTGTACATTAACCCCCTAGGACCTGGCGTCCACATATGTGGACGTCACATTTTGGGTTATTTAGCCCAAAATACTCAATTTTGCTCTACAAGGGCCTGATATCCACTCACGAGGACATTATACTGCTACTGTTCTATCGAAATTTTAAATGAATATCTGCATATGTGGATCTCATTTTTCTTAGAAACAAAAATCGGGTAAAAAAAAAAAAAATCTGGTAATTCTTTGTTTTTACATTCATCGGGCTTCAATATGGCCAAATATCAAAGAGAACTTAAAAATGCATGCTGTGGAAGAGTTCGGGTTATAGGAGGTTAAGAAACATTACACATTTCTACATGAAATTATTATTAATATTACATGTCTCCATACTGCGATGAAATTGCCAGGTGGTGGTTATCCAACTCAAACTTAACTGATCTTAATTATAACAAAATAATCAGTTAAATTAGTAGGAAGATCCATTAATGACCTTTGAGATTACCTAAATTCTTTACGTTTGGTTGTTTTAGAGATATTTTGAGCATGTTACCACAAAGTATTGAATGGCACACTTTTTCCCCCCCAAATCAAAGTGTTTTGGCAGTGAAACACGGGAGGCTATTTATTGGTGGATGGCATTAGAAGAGACAGTGGCTTGTCTGATGTGCTTGTAGATTAATATCAATTTACTTTTATAATCTGATGCTAATAAATAATGCAGCAGAATTGCCCCGCTGCATACGTGAGCACTCACTAATTGTTCATGGAAATCTCTAAACGTCACTTTTATCACTCACGTCCTGCTATCTTTTTCAGCATTTGTGGTCCTTATCTCTGCTGCTTATCTTATCTTGTGAGCACATAAAACACACCCAATCTCTCTAACTAACGTTCCTGTCTTGCTAGGCAAACAGTAGTCATGGCATATTTTCTTATTAGACAGTGCTTTCTTAGATTACCTCATCAGTACACCATTTGATGGCATGCACTGTAGAAAAAAGAAGGGCTCTTATCTTTTGGTTAATGTTACCCTCACCTTCTGGTCCAAATCCAGTTGCTGATCTGGGCAGTAACAGTCAAATATTTAAAATGAAAAAGTGTACCATGTGATGAAATCTGTGTGTTTGGGACGTAGCCATGATTACTGCTGTGGAGCATCCCCCCTTCTTGTAACAATTGTCCATAAATGTCTGGGAACTGAGGAAACCAGTTGCTTGACTTTTGGGAGAGGAATATTGTTCTGTCCTTGTCTGATATAGGACTCTAGATGCTCAGCAGTCCTGGGTCTTCTTTGCTGTATTTTTCGTTTCATGATGCATTAATTGTCTTTTCAGTTGGAAGAAAATCTGGACTGCAGGCAGGCCAGTTCAGCACCTGGACTATTTGACTATGAAGCCATTCTGCTGTAATAGACACAGTTTGTGGTTTAGTATAGTCCTGCTGAAGTATGCAAGCACTTTCTGGATGGGAGCATGTTGCTCTAAAACCTTTCAGCACTGGTAATGCTTTTCCAGATGTGCCAGCTGCCAGTTCTATAGGCAGTAATGTACCCCCATACCATAAGAGATGCACGCTCTTGAACTGTGTGCTGATGCTGAAGTCAAATGGTCTCTCTCCCCTTTAAACCTTAGGAGACAGAATCAAAATGGAAAAATACACAGAGATGAGTTGTGAAAAATGACAGTTTGAGTTATTTTTTAGATATCTCACTGCAGTCTCAGTGTGTCTCCTTGCACCTGTGCCTCAGCAAGTCCTGGATTGTCAAAACAGTCATTTTCAGTTTGGGTAAGTGGAGGAAGTAGCAGGAAAGCAAATTTAGTAGGTGGAAAAGGTTAAGAAGGTGGAATTGTGTTGATATTGTCAAAAAACCAAAACCCAAAACAACCTTGAAATGACTGAAAACCAGTGTGAGCTATGTTAAAAGCTGCAGCCAAACCAATTGTGCATATACTTGAAGTGTTGCAGTTCTTGTTTGGACTGATTTTTATTTCTATTATGATGTGATCACTGTCGGGTGTGTTTGGAACTGGTTCAGACTGCAAGGCATTTATTCCAGTTCATCAACTTTTGCCATGGCTGGTTTTTGTAGAAGGTCGTCTTGTGGCCTTTGTTCTTTGTGAAAACACCAATCGTAACATTAGAAAATCCATGATGTTTGCCTATACTTCAATCAATCGCTTGGTATTCGGTAACCTCTGTCTTTTGTATACAGTTGTTGCTACTCCGACTGCTCTTTCTTTTAGTTTTATGTGACATGTGGTCGAGACAAAAACAAGCACTACATCGTGTATACTCAGACTATTTTTGATTACATGGGATTTAGCTGATTTTTGATGTGTTAAAACACAAAGCTTGTGACAGACATGTTGGCAGTGCTTGAACAGTAGCTTCAGTTTTGCCCGCAGTACCCTTGATGTAATCATACAGCGGCAGCAGAATTTGACTCCACCACGCTCCACTGGTTCTGTTGTCACTGAACCAAAGATAATGCTTCTGTGTGACTGGTGTTAATTGTACCAGTGATGTTCATGTACTATGGGATATGGCGCAGGTGACTTCTTAATAAAAGATCTAGGAAGTGTAAGTCATTCCACCATCATTGGAATGGAAATGGAATGAGATACAGCTGTTTATTAGCCCCTTCGTTTCAGGATTTGTATCCTGTCCTGCGATCTAGCTTATAAATAAATACTGCAGAGATCCTCTATTTTGAATATCATAAATTCTTTATTATTATGAAAAAAAAGTTTAGAACTGTTAATTAGCTTTCTGCTCTGGAGCTTCAGCACCTGATAGGCTATTGTGTATGTAAAGCAGACTTAGAATGCATTTATATCTCTGTTCCCACAGGGTATGCCAACGAAGTCGGGGAGGCCTTTCGTGCTCTTGTGCCAGTGAGCTTGGTATGGGGCAGCTATGCTGTGGCCACTGCATATGTTACTGCTGATGCCGTGGACAAAGGGAAGAAAGCAGCTGTGGTAAGATATTGCCATTAGTTTATTGTATCTTCATTAATAAACCTTATAGGGTACATTTTCATTTTTATGTAACAAGGAAAGGGTTTAAATACATCTTACCTTTTAGTCACTTTAAGTTGAATTCTAATTCGTTTTCCCCCTTGCTGAGATTCATTTGTGTTTGTCTGACTTCTATATTTACCAACTACCAGGTGTACATTGCAAGTTTGTGCGTAAAAAAGCAACCCCTAGTCACATGTGCTCAGGATCCAGCATGGTACTTTAGATGTGCAAAGGTCTGTACAGGCTTGCAACTAGCTGTGAAAATGAATGTAAATTCGCTCATGTTCTCCAATAGTCCAGAACACAACACTTTCTTTCCTGTATTTACTTTTATTCCTCCTGCCCCAGATACATCTGGCCAATAGGCAGACTGGACATTCTCACTTGGTTTGTAGTAACACATGTTAGTTTGATTGGAGTTCCCTTGGATTTTTCTGTGTGAACAGAAACCAAACCACGGAGAAAAGCTACAAGTTTGCGAACTCATCATCTAAATTGGACCATAATAAATTAACCATAGGTGTGAAAAATACCTTAGTTGATCCGAGATCACTGGAATGGATTTGATCTTGAGGCATGGTGCTTTATAAGTGTTTTTATTTGAACAGTTTGACTTTTACATACTAAAACTGGCAAGTAAATATATATGTTTTAATGGGTTATAAGCCCCACAAGTGTCCACTATCTGAAAGGATCATAAAGAAACACAGACATGTTTCTACTTTCCTCTTATTGTTCTTTTTTTGTATTCTTTTTTCTTCTTGAACCTCAAGGCAAAAAATTCTGAAATTTGTCCCACTGATTTGCTAAACCAAACTTGGGACATAGACTTGGCGCACCTTTTTTTCCCTCTTATAACCATTTGGCACAGCTGTAAGCAAACATTTACTATCTCAATAAATGTCTATGTGTCATGATGTCCACCTAATACGAGATCTAGGGAGACTGTGCATTCCTTGTAACACCTCATAGTTGCAACTGCAAAATTGAATTTGATCATAGTTTAAAATAAATGAATTAGGAAAGGAATAAAGGAAACTTTTTTCTTCATTTTTTGCAAAAGGTGGTACAAGTGATCTTCAGACTAAAAGAGAATGCATTTTTTATATTGCTGCTTGTAGCTTTTGGTTCAATTGAAAAGTCCAGCTAAACTTGCTTATCCCCTTCACTGCTTCTTGAAACTTTCGTCATTAACTGTGTTTAAAACCTGTGACAACCCTCATTTTTCCAAATATCCAACTGTGTCTCAAGGCCCATGGGGACAACCCAGGGAGGACAACAAGGGTTGCTGTGGCAGTGGTGGACACATTTGTGTGGCAGGCTCTTGCATCCGTGATCATCCCAGGGTTTACCATTAACCGTGTGTGTGCCACGTCGCTGTACCTGTTAGGAAGGACCACGAGGTGGCCATTACCTGTCCGCAAGTGGACCACCACTGCTATAGGTCTCTCTACAATCCCCTTCATCATCACTCCAATAGACAGGTAAGCACAAGTTACAGTATATTCACTCACTCATCCAAATCATTGAATTCAATGGCACTTCCTGTTCCAACATGACTGCATACCAGTGCACAAAGGAAGGTCCATAGAACATGGATCTTCCAACACCTCACAAGTGGGCTTGTGGAAGAATGATAAACGCACTCCTAAACCTTGTGGATAGCCTTCCCGGACTGACATCATATTAAATCTTATTAAAGCCTGTGTTGTATATGTTTAAATAGATTGTTTTTAACACGATTTTTCAAATGTTTCTACTGTAACACGTTTAGTGGCTCAGCAGTATTATGTCTTCATGGGATTTGTCTTTCCCCAACAAATGTCCTATTCACTGCTACTTAAATAAAGGATAAAATATACAGGGCCCAGGTGTTTTGAGACATGTGAGACACATGAAAGAAGAAATGCATTGCTTGTTTTTTCATTGGACTAGAATAATGCTAGATGTATTCCTTAAAATACCTAAAAAAAACAAGCAAAAAATACAAAAAAAAAGTCATGCTAAAAATTCAGAAATATTTGTAAAAATGACACCTAAATAGTTTAAAGCTTTTAGTTTAAAGAGCTGAAATGTTTTATATCATCCCTTGTTGATGAAGCCTGAAAAGTTTACACTACCCTAAGCACAATGTATAGTGGTCATTAATAATAAAAAAAGAGGAATATTAATTGGTGATTAATTTTATCCCAAAGTTTGGGGAATTTCTTTGTTACAACCAAAACATTAAACACAAAGTTAAAAAAAAAAAGAGCCTTAAATATCCATCTATTTTCTGATAGTTACTTGGTCTCGGGTGCAGCAGTCTGAGCGGAGTTGCTCACACCAACTCTCCGAGGCCACCACCTCCAGGAGGATCCTCAGGTGGACATGCCTGAAACACCTCATCTAGCATACGGGAGCCATCCTGGCCTGATTCCACAACAACCTTAACTTCCCCCCCGTAGGTGCAGAGGAGCACCACTCTGGTCTGAGTCCCTCCCCAACTAATGTCTTCAGCTTGTCTATAATGAAAGAGTCCCTCCCTTGGGGGGAAGCCCCACCACTTGTAAGGGCAATCTCATCCTTTCTGACACTACCCAGGTTGATTCCCCAAATAAAGAACTTGATTAAAACAGAAAAAATAGATTAACATAAAGGAAAGGATCTCATTAGTAAAAACCTAAATAAAATACAGCAGAACAGAATAAGAATCTCAGTAAGTTAAAAAAAGCAGATAAAATAAGAGAGGTTATTTATTTAAAATATAGGTGCTGCACAATATTACATGTACAACTACCTTCTCTTTATAAGCAAATTCAGCCGCTATCACTCACTGATAAAACGTTGCATAACAGCAGCCGTTGAAAGCAGAAGTGTTCTTTGCAGCACTTCTGCTTAGGAAATGGAACCAGAAATAATTTCATTGTAAATAAAAGCATTTTCACTCCCATGTTTTCTGCAGGTCAGTGGATTACCTGCTGGACTCCAGCCTTCGGAAGGTCTACGGTGATGAAGAGAAGCACAAATAAGGAGGGATCACGGAGGACAGACTGTTCCCCCTTCTAACTGAGCAGGAGTCCAGTCTGTCTGCAGACCATTGCTGATGTATAAAGAAGGGATCCATGAAATGACATTAGTCCACAGTTAGTCAGATAAACTATAATACTGTAGTTTTTTTTTAATTGCAGAACTATGAAATGTACTACATTAGTTAAGATAGATAAGAAGTGAAAACCGACTGTGTGAAATATCCCTTTTGGGGAATTTAAAACTCTCAGGGGCGAGCTGGGTGGTGACAGCAAAATATTTAAATGGGTGTGATGGGTTAAAAAAAGTACTTTACATAGTACAGTGAACCTCTGCTCTTTGGGAGCGGTATACATATATATATTTTTACCATACTCCTGTTATCTTATAGAGACACAGCACAATGTGAACTGTTACTCTGAGGCTTCACTTGTTGTATTTATTAGCCATATTCAGCGGTACTGTAATGACAGGCCAAAAAGCCATTCTGTTATTCATTGCCAACTTAAAGTTTGACTTTGTTTTTGTCCTTTTTGAAAGGGTTTTCTTACTTGGAAAGTTAGTGAAAGCATTCTTTACAACCATCTGTGTATACAGTACCAGATCAGTGTGGACTACAGTGTAATTTACTGCAGTCTGAAGATGTTAGATCTATAACTACATGTCTCTCTGGCACCAAGAGTGTTGATTCCTGTAGGCCTCGGATTAAACTGATTGATCAGACTTTGAATGATCACTTTCCAAAGGGCCAGTGTAATAGGTTTGCTAAAAACGTTTTAAGGGATTCAGAAATATGCAGATACTCTGTGCTTATAAGCAGTTCTTT